TGTTTGAGTCCATAAGAAGAGATTCATTCTTAAATCTGGAGGAAGATCTTTTTTTCAATAAATATTAACGTTAGCCGGCGACCTTGTTCCAGTTTTAAATTTTGGCGCACTGTGTATTTGAATTTGACACCCCTGGCTTAGAACTACTGACAATCATCACGTCTGCCTTTTAAAAAAAAGAAAAACAAAACAAACAAAACAAAAAATGCTAACACTGATGTTTAAAAATTAACATGCAATTTTACATCTTTTATGTACAGGCTATGTCCTGAAGCATTTCCCAGCTTTCACATTGGCCTGGGACCTCTGATCGTGCAATGAGCAACTGTCTTTCCCCTCTTTCCCTAACCATGTATTTATACACTATTGGACGTCATCAACTTTGTGTTTCCTCTCTATAATTTGCCTTTTGCTCCATTTGTTATCTCTGTATACTTTTTTTCCTTCTTCTCTTTTCCCATTCTCCCATCCAGTGGTGGCACTGGGCTGCCCTCGTTGCACTTGGTTTGCCAAAAGGGAGATTTTCCTCCCCACCCACACAGTTTATTCTCACAGATGATTGTTGGAACAGTGGGTTTCTGTCTCTATTTTGAGATAACCATTTCTATGACTCGTATAAAATAACTGGATTTAAGAATGAATGCAGGAAGTCACAAAAATCTAACCTCTTTTCAAATATTTGCAGTCACAACTCCACTGTGTGAAAGACACTGGAGGCTAACAAACCATTAAGGGCAAAAGTTACAGTTTTACTATTTTTATGTCCTCTGAGAGGCACAGAACACACATGTAAGGTAAAAAAAAAAAAAAAATCTGTTAAATGTAAAGAAAAAATCCAAATCATATATATCAGGCATCGGGGTCCTGTTATATTCCACAAAAAGCAGCAGCACAATGTTGTGGGGATGCTTTCCCGCTCCAGGGTTCAGGCAATAATTGAAGGAATCCCACTCTCTAACAGAGAGGTCTGGAGAGGAAAGCATCAGTATGTCAATTGAAGCTCAAGTGCCACTGCAGCATGACAATCATTCTCAAGCATATGAGTGAGTCCACCTGTGAACGGAATGAAAAATAAAAATGGAAACTGGCAGAGAATAAAAAAAAAATTTCAAAGTCTGGACCAGAACCCTGTTAAGATGCTGGGGAAGTGCCTGAGAAGAGGAGTTCACCCTCTGATGAGGCTGCAGTAAAGAACTTCTGAAAGAAGAATTGGATAAAATTTCATCACAGCGACGTCTGAACCACATCAAGATATTGGACGTGGCACTGTTTGCAGATGTTTTCAGAGGTGTGGGTAGCACAGCCAGGTTTGATTGATGATTCTCGTATTGGATAACCGCGTAGCTTCTTTAAATGCAAATACGATTTAAAATTTGTATTTTGTATTCGCTCAGGTTGCCTTTATGTTTCAGATAAAATGTAAAGAGAAACTTAATTTATCTCACATTTATCCATCACTTTACGCAAGTGGATAAATCGTGGCCTGTGATTGGTTTGGTTTGAATAGAGGAGCAGATAAATGCTTGTTTATTCAGATACAGATCCCAGAATCAAAAGATATCTGGGATATAGGAGTAAACTGGGCATTTTGCATCACAAAATCAAGCAATTAAAAAAATTCAATTAAATAAAAAAGTCAAGTTCAAGAAAATGTCAGAAATGAATCTGAATCTAAATATCTTCCTTTATCCAGGAGCCCAGTTCATCCACGGTTTGTGTGGAGGAATTTTTAACCTCTGCTCCATTAGCTGTACGTATCGCCAGAACAAGGTACAGCATCCTTCCAAAACTGCATTCATTTTTCACTTCAAAGTTCTAAACACAATATCCCACAATGACAAAGTGGAAAAACTTTTCTTGAAATTCATCAACTTTATTAAAAATAAAACAAAAACATGTACAAAAGTATTCACAGCCTTTTCCATGACACTAAAATTTAACTCGGGTATATCTTGTTTCCAGTGATCATCCGTCATCTGCTTCTACAACTTGAGTGGAGCCCATCTGTGGTAAATCAGTCTATTGGGCATGATTTGGAAAGGCCACCTGCCTACATCAGCTGTAGTTGACAGTGTATGTCAGAGCACCAAACCGTGAAGTCCAAAGAACTCTGGTCTGTAGACCTCCGAGACAGGATTGTATCGAAGCACATCATCCGTAAATGGAAGAAGTTTGGAACGTCTACCTTCTAAGTGACCAACCACCCAGTTTTCAGTCTGACAGAACTACAGTGTTGCTCTGGGGAGAGAGGAGAACCTTCCAGAAGGACAAGCACTTCTGAAGCTCTCCAACAATCAGGGTTGCATGGTAGTGGCCAGACTGAAGCCACTCCTCAGTAAAAGGCACATGACAGCCCAGCTGGAGTTTGTCAAAAGGCACCTGAGGGACTCTCAGACCATGAGGAGAAAAAAAAAAATCAATCTGATTAAACAATGATTGAGCTCCTTGGCCTGAATGCAAAGTGTCACGTCTGGAGGAAACCAGGTACCGCTCATCACCTGGCCAATACTGTCCCTACAGTGAAGCATGGTGGTGGCAGCATCGTGCTGGGGGATGTTTTTGGCAGTGGGACACTAGCTGGGATCAAGGGAAAGATGAATGCAGGAATGTACAGAGACATCCTGCTCCAGAGCACTCAGACTGTACCTACAAACATGATATATTTTTGTTTTTAATTTTTAAATACATTTGCAACAATTTCAAGCAAATGTTTTTCAAATTGTCAATACTTTCAAGATGAACTGTGGACTTTTATTTTATTTATAAACCTTTGACTCTAAACATTATAGCTGGCAGTAGCGCCATCCACAACCTGAGTCAGAGGACCACGAGGATCATCCACTTTGTCTCTACGACAAAAATAAGTAAATGTTATGTGAGCTGCTTCTTTGGCCCTGCAAAGCAGAGGTACTACAAAGGATCTCCAGTGGATGCGCGGTGATGTTTCCTTAGTCACCTGGATTAAATCCAGGGTTGTGTTTACTGTAGGGGGGATTTTTGCTTGGCCAGGATGAGGGCTGGTGATGGATCCCCAAATACAGTGAACAGATTCCAGCCCTGCTATGTGGTCGGCTGCTGCTGCTGTTGTCTTTCATGGCATATTCCTTTGAGGCAGGAGTATCTGAAGGTCTGCAGTGAGGCGCTGCTCAATGAGCAATTTATATGTCCTCAACAAAGCTTCTTCTTTAGACCCCGAAGGCAGGTCTTAATTGTTAGACGTGATATCTCCACTCTCCCTCTCTGCTTTCTTTGACTGTTTTTTCTTCTCTCTCCTCCCACCCACCCTCCCTCCCTGCAGCTATTAGGAATTGGATTTGGAGCAGAACGATCCATTTAGTTTCTCTCCTCCGTTTCTATCCCTCTCTCCCTGCTTCCACACCTCCTCTGTAGGTTTCTCTCATCAAAGCCCAGGCTTAATCTGTCTATTTTTACCTCAAGGAATGAAAGCAAGGGATGAGGTAATGCTTTTGCTGTCCATCAGGTGGGCAGTGGTGCATGAGCTCTCTGGTGTACATAGCATACGGAGCTAGTGCCACCACGTGGACCGAGATGAGAAGAGGTCTTACGAAAGCAATAGGATGAGCATGAACAGAACTGCCTTTTCATTAACTCGCTAATAATGATCAAAAGAAAAACACAGAGAACATGACAACAGATAAAGATGGACAAAAATCCACTGATGATAGCTTTAAGGTAAGTGTGACCCACTGCATTGATTCATACAAACACTGTCAGGCAGTTTTAGAGAACTCAAAGCATCTTAAGATACAACTATAAAAGCAGAGCTCCCCCTAGTGGGTACACACAGTAAGTGACTATGACAAAACAGAAGGTTGTATTTGTAAAATAAAAAGCAGAAAACTTTGATTTCTGCTTTGAATTTTAAAACATAATGGAAACTAGGCATAAGGCATGAAATGTGACCATCACAGATCAACTTTCAAACTGCAGAAAAACAAACCAAAAAAAAAAAAAGAAAAAAAGAAAGAGAGAGATAGATGCGTGAAAGCGAAGACATGTTATTTATCAAGTTTTTAAAGATATGTTCATCCAAATACCGAGCCGTCGTCCTTTGCAGTGTTTTACGAACTGTTTAACGCAGAGGTGGAGAAATTGTTTTGCTCATCATATAACTGTAGGTTCATGCACAAACGAAAGTATGAAGGTAGTTGCAGGCAGCAGTCTAACATCTGGGCCCACATTCATTAAGACTCTCGGAGCAGGAAATCAGACAGCTGTCACGCTGGCACCTCTTTAGTCGTGCTTTTGAAAATCAGGAGTGAAAGCACTGAGGGAGTGTTTTAACTTCAGTCTGGGTAAATGCAGACATTTCATCCAGATTTTCACTAATAACTAAAACTCCACATGAAAAATCATCTGAAATGTCATTTAAAGCTAAGAATTGTAAGTATTTTCAATCATGCTCTAATTTGTATATAGTTTTTCTCTTATGAGGAACCTTTTGGATTCTAATCTCTAAGAGCAGTTTTTGAACCCGAGAGTACTCTGAGAACTTTTTTATTGTGGAGGAAAAAAAGAAAAAAAGTAACAGATAATCCTGCTATTTACTAGTGGAACGCATCCAATCCTGCTGTCAGGAGAGCAGGCAAGAGCCGATGCATTGTGGAAGTTTCCATGTTATTTCTGCTGGGGAGAGAATCACTGAAGAGGCCCCTGCAATCTAAACACAGCACAAAAACCCCAGTGGTGAGGCCCAACGAGGAGGAGGAGGAGGAGAACGATGCTGGTGCTACAGCTCAGAAACCACAGCTGTTATCTCTGACTTTGCATAAAGCAGACACCTAAATGAACAAGCTTGTTGTTGAATGTGTGGTGAGATGCAGTAACACCCTCAAAGGTACTTGTACAGTAAGCAACACAGTCTGGACATTGTAATGCAAATGGTTATGCAAATGTACTGCAATATGCTGGTGACGCGTGAAACTTTAATGGCAGTAATCTGGGAATATAAACACATAAATATGGGCCGAGATGCAAAGTGTCAACACGACAGCAGGTATTGTGCTAGTGTCCATTAGCCTGAGATAACAACAATGCTAACCTTCCAATACATAAGGATACATAAAATCCTCCTTTTTCAATCTGTTCTTTATAAACATATATATAAATATTTGTGGAGCACACAAAATGTATCTTAATATTATAGTGGGCATTAAAAATAAAGGAAGGCAAAGAAAGAAATAAAAAAATAAAAACATTATCTGGATCAGGAATTCATACTCTTCCTAAAAGTTTTGTCCTTTCTCTACCTGCACTTGAAGGCACCGTTGTGACAGCATTGATGGGGTCTGATAGAGAAGGTAAAAAAGTGGCTTGAGTCTGTGAGTTAGTCGTCTTTGCTGCGGCTCTGGCCGTTGCAGCTCGGAGATCGGCCTGTGCAGAAATCCCGTGGATGGTCTTTAAAGTGGAGGCAGTCCAGAGCAAAGTGTGGAAACTGCTGGATGTAATGAAGAAGATCATCTGGCAGAGATGGAGTGTGAGATTAAAACAAATGTTAACTTTACATTCTTAATAATCAAAACACTAAACTTAAATATAACATGTAATATGTGGCATCTAAACAGCATATGTAATTAGCTCTTTTGTTTAGCAGCATTAGCATAATTACTCTGATCATTCTAGATCATTAGAGATCGGACTGAAAGTGGCTATTTTGTGCAGATGGGTTGTTTTATGGTAAAAATAAAAAGGTTCTTTTATTGGACAAGAAAAGAATGCTCACAGAGGCTTTGACAGTTTCTAGAAAAGGCAGATGGTGGATGTAAAATCTCGTCTAACAGATGGTATTTATTTTCTTCAGTAAAGCCGAGAAGAAATCAAATGTGACGGTGACAGCACAGACGAAGTGGGGGACACACTGACAGATGCTGTCAATCATCTCTAACGTGGGCTCATTAGTACAATGGTCCTATAAATAATTTGACATCTCTGTCAATGTGTTAAAATGCTTAAAACATGTTACAAACAGAAACAGGGTCTTACCATAAGTGATCTTTCCTGTGTCGGGTCCGAGCGTTAAGCACACACTTGAAAGTCGCACTTCCTTCACTCCTAACATGATTTCCAAGATGCCGGCTAGCTCCTCCTCCAGGATTTCCCCGCTCTCCTCGCTCTCGTACATCTGCGAACCCGGCACGAAGCGTTAGCACAATGCTAGGAAAGCTACGCTGGTACACCTGTTAAACTGGTTAATGAGCACAGGTTAATCATAGCGCAACAACTCCATGCATTTAGGCCTGTAGACACAGTCAAGGGGACCGGCTGGAATCAAACCAGCATGAGAATGAGGAAGAAGGGTGGCTGCTGGCTGCTGGTCCAGTCAGGCTGATCTGAGAATTTCAGATTAGCTTCCAGTCAAACCATCTCAAACTGGTTTCTTGAACTTGACAATGAGTTCTCTGTACTCAAATGGCCTCCACAGTCATCAGATCTCAATCCAATAGAAAACATGTTGTAATGTGGTGGAACAGGAGAGTCACACTGTGGATGTTCAGCTCACAAATCTGCATCATCATGTCACTATGGACCAAAGTGTCTGTGGAATGGTTCCAGCACCCTGTTAAATCTATGCTATAAGGCATCTCTCAGGGTGAAAGCTGATACTAGCAAGGTGTACTTGCTCAGCTGTTGGTCAGTGTATGTTAAACCGGAGTAAGCAGTATAAAAACTTACCTTAAAGGCCAGTTTGAGGGTTTCCATGGACTTTGTGGGTCGACGAACGGTCGACAGAGCGATAACGTAGCGCCTGACGTCTATCTGTCCATCTCCATGCTGGGAACAAAAACACCTCGGTGAACAAAAGGAGCAGGTAAGCCCCACACTTACAGCACAAGTATCCATTGATCTGACCATGTTATCGATTGAAATGGAGGACTGTGGTGTACATATGAAGTCTCTAGTATATTCACCTACTAAGCACTAACCCTGATTTTAACTTTGTGGCAGTGTCATAGCTCCTATATAGACAAGGTTTCAAACTAAACATAGACCACTTTTAGCCCAAGCACTTTAATTATTTAATTTATTTAAATATAACATGTTTGTTGTGAGGCCATGGTCCTCAACCGGAAAAGGGTGAAGTGCCCACTCCGGGTCGGGGATGAGTTCCTGCCCCAAGTGGAGGAGTTTAAGTATCTCGGGGTCTTGTTCGCGAGTGATGGGAGAAGGGAGCCGGAGATCGACAGACGTATTGGTGCGGTGGCTGCAGTGATGCGGACGCTGCACCGGTCTGTTGTGGTGATGAGAGAGCTGAGTATAAAAGCGAAGCTCTCAATTTACCAGTCGATCTGCGTCTCTACCCTCACCTATGGTCACGAGCTGTGGGTAGTGACCGAAAGAACGAGATCGCGGATACAAGCGGCGGAAATGGGCTTCCTCCGAAGGGTGGCTGGCCTCTCCCTTTGAGATAGGGTGAGAAGTTCAGCCATTCAGCCGCTGCTCCTCCACATCGACAGGAGTCAGTTGAGGTGGGTCAGACATCTGACAAGGATGCCTCCTGGGTGAGGTGTTCCGGGCACGTCCCACCACGAGGAGGCCCCGGGGCAGGCCCAGGACACGCTGGAGAGATTATATCTCGCAACTGGCCTGGAAACGCTTTGATATTCCCCCGGACAAGCTGGAGGAGGTGGCTGGGGAGAGAGGGGTCTGGGCTTCTTTGTTTGGGCTGCTGCCCCCGTGACCCGATAAGCAGAAGAAAATGGGTGGATGGATGGATGGACGTTTGTTGAGAGGTCAGCATAGACAGAATCTACCCAGCTAACTATCAAGCCCAACCAATTAAAGTATTTTATCAATATCAAATTATTTATATTATTTTAAAGAGGCTATGATGGTATTTGACTGCATTTAGGACTAGATAGCCACACAAAGTTCAGTCTACGTACAAAGACGCCCAATTTTTAAATTTAAAGTGGACTCATTACAATTTTCCAGCTGCATATTTTTATTCCTGAAGAATTTTACTAGAGAAGCTTTGGATGACTCATAGCTCATAATAATCCTTATTTAGCTTATACTGAGCCTGTGACATAACACTGTTTCGGTTGCCTTTCCCCTTCCTTTAAATTAGCTTCTTTATGGTCGGCTGCTTCTTACAAACAGATGAAGCTGATGGGCTCACAACTAGCAAGAAAAACATCTATTTGTTGATGCCTGTGGACCATCACAATGCCTAATGTTCATGCCTCCATATTAACGTCAGACTGTAACTGTGTGATTGTTCACACAGTACAGAGAAAACCATCAAGTCTTAATTTAAGGATTCAGCTCATGAAATTGTTTTTTTTATTTTTATTTTTTTAAGGAGTTTCTGAAAAATTGTCGCTCCTTTGAGCACCTTGTAAAACCCTCTGTTTATTATTAGATTTATGTATCAGGATGCCACAAAGAAAAGCACTGTTCAAACTGTGGCTCACTATTAGAAATGTATCTTTTACCTTTTTAGGATACATACAGGCAGAGTTAAACCACACAAAGCTTTTGTTGTGTTACCGATAAAGTGGAATATTAAAGGCAGTAGGGATGGGTATCGTTTAGGTTTTATCCGATACCGGTGCCAAATCGGTACTTTTGAAACGGTGCCGGTGCTCAAACGGTGCTCAAACCGGTGCTTAAAGAATGGAGAACACAAAATTGGTCCAAAAACCTCTCATGTTCAGCTGTTTTTTTGTAAAAAGATAACAATGTTAGCCTTTTCTGCAGCTATGGGGCATATATGGTATCACTCTTGGCTGGAAGCAGTGCTTAAACAATGGAAAAAAAACACAAACTTTGTCCAAAATCCTCTCATGTTCAGTTATTTCCCACTTTTTCTTTGGTCATTTTAGCCTTTTTAGCCAGGGTGAAGGGAGTATCTGCCATCAAACAAGAAGACAGCCGCATGTAGCTATGATGATGTTTGCTAGTTCACCTTACATGCATTAATGTAATAACGTGGTTAGCCTACTCAACGTAAATTACACTCGAACAACATGAAGCTACTCACGCAGAGAAGAACGGCTGCTGCTGCCATCATCATCCTCATCATTTCTGCTACACTGGCAGGGCTAGGGGCCAGGACTCTATTCTTCGGGTTTTTGGGGGATGTTGCTCCGGGTCCGATAACTGGCAACCCACCCGACGTGCACGGTGTGAGGTCTCGCAGCAAGCTATCAAATACGGCGTATTTCTCGGCTTTTAAAAAAAACGCTATGCGTCGCCAGGTGTTTCATCAGATTCGAGGTGTTACCTCCTTTGACAGTATCACAGTATCAGCTTAAAGCACTTGTTGCTGCTGAGTTTGCATCTTTTGCTGTGAAGTACAGCCAGACTTTTGACCGCTTCGCCTTGGACATTTTTAATCTGTAGCTCTGCTCTAACTGAACGTACGTACCTGGCCCCGCCTACTATCCTGGGAAACGTAAAATGATTGGCTAGAAGTGTATCACAGCTCAGGAAAAAAAAAAGCACCGAAATAAAGCACCGAAATGTGCGCTGCTTTTCGGTCTGGTTACTACCGTTTATGTCAGAACCGGTGCCATCATGGCACCGGACACCGGTACCCATCCCTAAAAGGCAGCAGATCTGGTTTTAAACTATGCTCATTTTAAATGGTCACAACACTAAAAACAGATTCAATGACAAAAATCTAAAACTCTACAACTAGTTTCTATCAAAAATGCAGGAGAAGGAAACTTTGCAATTTCTTCCAAAAGCCTCCAAACATTCTCCTCATATCCTAAACATTCCTCTGTGGCCCGTCAGTCCTGCCCAAAATGCCTCGCCGCTTCCCTTCACCCTGCAAACACATTAACTCTGAGGTAAAATTCATTGACTTTACCTTTTTTTATTCTTTTTTATTTTATCGTTTTTATATTTTGCAGAAAGAAACAAAAGAACAGATTTTTATGTATTTTTCTGTGGAGCTCATTTTATAACTTTGTGTGATTATTTGAGCATTGCTGGATCTTTTTAAAAAAAATAATTTTATCAACTTTTCTTAACATTAAATCCACGTTTATACATTTCCCTTTGCTATATCTTGTGCTTCCTTCATGTTTACCTCATCAAAGAAGCTGTGAACTTCTTTAAGTGTGTCTGTAACAGGGAGGTTGAGGAACTGGGCAAAGTCCTCCAAACCCAGTTTGTCTCCCTGGAGCTTCCTGGCTCTCCTGGCCTGCTCTTCAAGCACCCTGTCTGTTGTTGCTGCTCTCAGTCTGTTAGGACGAAGCAAAAAAAGGAAAAACCTCAAAGAAGCCAGATTAACTAAGAGTAAGTCATACTGGAAACAACACTAAAAAAAAGACAGTACAAAGTGTGGAGTTTCCTCAGCCTTTTTTAAAACAAATCCAGGGGGAAGAAAAAAAAGAGGTCCAACATAGTTATAATTATACTCGTAAATTGAAGTTCATTGGGGTTTTTTATTTTGGCTTTTGGTTTTGGTGTGTGTTTCTGCTCAGCCACCAATAGGTGGCAGTGTTTACACACTTTTCCCAAAGTGTTGACTCAGCACTAGGGATGGGTATCGTTTAGGTTTTATCCGATACCGGTGCCAAATCGGTACTTTTGAAACGGTGCCGGTGCTTAAAC